CCAAGGCCGAGTCTAAGCAAGTTCGAGTGTGAGTTTAGACATAATAGTTCAATAAAAACCAAAGTTCGAGAAATTTTCTTGAGCTATCACAACGCGTTTCGATCTTGCTCAAAAATCTCATCAGGTAGCTTTGATCTTTGCGCGAAAAATCATCTATTTTCAATATTCAAAAAATGAAATCCTCTAAATAATTTCAAAAGCAAAGATTTCATTATGTGGTGAGTTTAGAAATAAGCTAATTGCTCGAAATGTTGTCCATTTGGAAAACAAAAAGTGTAACTATAAAATAATCGATTTTATGTAAAGTTCCTCATGTTGCATCTTTTAGTATATTTTGTTCTCTTAATAGGACGAAGTGATGAATAAATTGAATACAATGCATAGTCATTCATTATGCGATTGTTTTGAGAGATGGAATAGACCAAAAATTCAATAGAAAGTCCGAAAATTTTGCTAGAAAATGCTTTATGTGACTTTTCGACAGAAACAGAATAAAGGATGCTAAATTCATCGATTTTCTACGAGATTTTATTGATAGAAAGTGTGTTTATTTGACTTTCTGCAAGAAAAGTCATGTTTTCATGTTTTTTTTTGATAGAGGAAATCACCTCTTCCCCTAATCGGAAAGTCTGGTACCGTCCAAGGATTTCCTTAACAAGAATGAAACCATGATAGTAGTAACTGAATTCATCCCTTATCTTCCGCCGTACTCTTAGTTTATATATTCTAGAGTGACAGGCATTTTGATTCTCGCATAAATCCAAAATGTTGACAATGTCTAATAAAATAACACACATATTTTTTGTTCAACTTTATCTGATCAATATCATTTCATGTCTCATATGTGATGATTCGTTTGAATAATTGTTCACAGTTTATTCTCTGCTCGTAGTTATTATAACTCACTCAACTATTCTTAAAACAATAGGTTTCTTTGTATAAGACTGACAAATATTTATTATTATCATCGACAACATGATTTATATAAGAATAAAAACACAATATCTACAAAGAAATAATATGGCAGATCTGACATACGACAGCATAATGTATTCTATGTCATATAAAGCTTAGATAGGAATATTTTTAAGAAACCGTATATATGTCATATTTCTTTTGACAACATCATTACATTACTTTAAATTAATGTTATTTAACTCGGATTCTCATTATGTTTATTTTTTAATTTATTTTACAATTCGTTTATAAATTATTTTGTTCTTGTAAGAAGTCAAATGATAATACGATCTATTAATCAAGAAGAAAATAGCTGACTTTATGATTTAAATGATCTAAGCGATTACGTGATATAAATGACTTTAAAGTCATAAAAGTCACTTGTTTCCCTCTTGAATTTTTCTCATATCCACTATGGCTGTCGAATTTCTGTTAAACTAACAAAACAAGGAAATAATTTTTTATGGTCTCGCTGTTAGAGGTGTGGATGTAGGTGTGAGTGTGTGCGTGAGTGCTGATAAAGAAACAGATATCCCAACACCCACATCTTTCTTTAAAAAACATCTATCAGTATTTTTTTTTATCATAACAGTGGTATCATCTACCATTGACATCTATTCTTCATGTCTTTTATTCGTTCTACAAGTAGAATCAAACTGAATGGTCACTTTCCTCCTATCATTTTTCTTTCTTGCTCTATACTATGATTAAAGTAAAGAAGTGCCATAGCTTCACTAAAATATTTTGTTCTCTTTTATTCCATTCCTTCAATCATTTTTTTCTTTCTCTGGGTTTTTTCCCATGTCAATATAAGAGCGTACTTTTCCCTATATTGACATAAACAGTCTTCAAGGTTATGTTTTCTCATTGAATAATGCTCGGTTGTTTTTCTTTCGCATATCACACATCTGTTTCAGATCAATGGAATCTTCAAGTTCATCGTCACTCAAACCAGATCATGTCATTATTTGGCTTGATAAACATATGAGTGTGGAACGCAATAATCGAACAAGTAAAATCGATCTTGCCACTAATGCGACATTGGATGATGTGCCATCAAACGAACGATCGCTCGATATTGATAATTTAATTGCTTGTGCAGATGAACAATGTCACAACGAGCAGAAATTAGACGCACTGCTAAAAACATCTTTGCACATGTTTACTGACAAAAACGAATGTTTGAAGAGTATTCAAGAACATCTGGTTGACAACAAACGTGTCTTTTTCATTTCTTCTGGATCGATGGGCGCTTTGATTGTGCCGGATATTCATGATTTATTGTCACGATTTATCTACATCTTTTGTGGTCGAATAACTAAACATGATTGGGCATTTGATTACACCACAGATTTGCTCATATTCGACCATGAAACCGATCTATTCGCACGTTTATTACGTGACATTGCCAAGTACTACATTTCTAAGAGTGAAAAATCTTCCAATCAAGCAAGTTCGATTGAATATCTCAAATGGGCTTTTCGATTAGCACAACGAGCGAACAAACTTGATCAGGATGATGTCAAATTTATCAAGACTATCGAGAAACATCTTATTCAATTAGATCCATCACAATCGAATGATAATGCTGATGACTGTAGAATCGGCCAAAATGCTGATGAAGGCTAATCTTTTTATTCCTATTTGCCATTTAAGTCACATGTGTCTTTTTTTTAATTCTTTCACTCGGATACTTCAGGAGTGTAATAATAATCTGGAGTTAGAAATGGTTGGAAGTTCGTTTATTTATGATCTGCTGAGTATAAAATCCAAAAGATAGCTATAACAGATATGATTAGGACAGAGAGAAAGTATAAAGTCGATTTCTATCAAAAAATATTAACATCCAAGAAATGTTTTTTGTGCTTCTATCAACTATCGAAATAAAGCTGATGCGTTTAACGTTATCAACAATTTTATAACATTCAATTTGAAACTGCTCTCATTATTCGATCCTACTATTTCTGAGTACATGAATATTTACTGACGAATCATACTTTCTAATATTATTGCAAATAAGTCATGAAAAAAGATGAACAGTATCAATATTCGATGAAGCAATCGATGTGTCTTTAAATCAGAGAACATATTGTTTGCCATTAACCATTAGTTATATCAAACAAGTTAATACACTCGATAGAAAACGTCGATTTATTCTTAAAATTTGGGATACTAATCAGTACTAAATGCCTTACTGGTGAAATAAGTTTGAGACAGATTAGATTATGTTTAATCAATATATTATATCTTCTTCTTAAATCGAGATAATAGAATAGGAAAAATCTTTAATGTTTAGTTTTACCTCAGCCTGGTAAAAGCTTGCGATTCATAAAGTTTTTCATATAGTAGAAGTTTCAAGGTAAATGATCCTCATATCGATAGATTTTGACTAGATGCGGGACTTTTGTCCATAACTGTAGATAATAATTCGATTGATTGATGTTTAACGGAGTTACATAAGTAAATCTAACCATGTACAGTAGGCCTATGTAAGCAAAACTTTTGAATGAAGCTGTCTCTGTACGTATCTCACGATAACTTGCTTTAATTATAGTAGACATAAGGATTATCTGATCCAGTCTCCTCTGAAAATATAGCATTTCCATTGCTATGTATTATATACAACAATGCATTATATTAACCTTTCTAAGTCATATCTTCAGAAGAAAACAATATTGGCATGCCTTTCACTATTGATAAGAAAGATATGAAAAACAACATCTTTATCATATTCTTTAATCAAATATATTTGCTAAATGTCAGAAGGCAAAATGACGAAGGAGAATATGTCGAGAAACGGATGGTAGGAACGTAGATTGCAGAGAAAAAAATTGTCAAATATCCCTGATAAAATATTCGAATCTGGATGCAAACAAGGCGTAAACTTACAGGTCCCTAATCATGATTGTCTCCTACGAAGACGAATGTTACGATTAAGGTTTCATGAAACTTAATGATAATCTTTTTTTTTGAATTTTCATCTAGTAGAATCTTGCTATTACATAGAATGAGAAAATTCTCAACGACTGTTCTCGAACTCTTAGTCCTTGGGCTCGCAGGCGTTCTCTCAAGATTGTAGTAAGAACACAGGATATAATATGTTGATGATGAATATAACCTTTGCTGTCAATCATATCACTTTTGTTGTTCTTCTTGAAAGGAAGAAATTGCACAACCATATGTAATTATCAGGAAAAAACCTTTCAAAACATACATGCACTCCAGTTAGACACATTTTTTAGTGAGATATTTATTTTAAGTTGGCTGACAAGACCGATGGCTACTAACCCTACTTTGTCTCTTCTCAAATTACCTGTAGAACTCATTTATCGTATTCTGGACAATCTTGATGTCTTAACAATTCTGTTTTCACTTCGCAACGTGTGCAAACGACTTAACAAAATAATAGACAACTATGACCGTTATAAGGTAATCTTCCACTGAAGTTAGCACTTTGATTTTTTTATTTTCAGTACTGATTTAACACTGACAGAAAGCTACGAGATAATATATTGTCATTAAGGAGTAATGATTATTCTAGTAAATCATTCATTTCAGAAAAATGTTCACAAAAAATTGGAAGATGCTGTCTTTAGTCTCAGATTCTTTGCAGGTACTTACTTTCACACTAAGAGAAAATATGCTGTATATGTCGTACGTCATGACATACTAATGCACGACATGTTAAAATACGACCCATTCTGAGTGAACAGTTCGAATTTATTTTTGTCGCGAAGAATATTATCTTCATAGGGACACAACTAATGATATCTATGCTAACTATAGTTAGTAAGACGTTTGCTTCTTTCTGGAATGAGGGTCAAGAAAAGACTGTTCCTCACCGTCACCATTACTATCATACAGAGCAATATTTACTCGTCTTTGTACATATTGATTTCATGTTCTATTCTCCTAGCAATCACTTCTAACCTCAAAAACTTCGTGTGATTTCTTTCGCTATATCAATATATATTGGTTTGTATCATTTCATGCAGACATTCACTACTCTTACTCTCAAAGGAAAACGCAGTAATGATGAGATGATGGAACGATTGTGTAATGCATTAGAAAACAACACTGTAAGACAGTTCGTTTTGTTGTTTACAGTATATTTACATTTACGATATCGTAGACACTTACAACTTTGATTCTTAAATATAATGAAATTAGTGTTCAAACAATGCAATATCTTGCTAAAGCATTACAAAATAATACTGTAAGATTAATTATCTAGCTGAAACATTTTTTTGATAACCACAAATTTGCCGATTTCCTATAGGCACTTATGACACTAAATCTAAAAATTGATTTGATCAGTGATGAAAATATACAATATCTAGCTAATATATTGCAACAGAATATCGTAGGATCAGTTTATTATTCATTTATCTTCGATTTTTGTTCATCAATTCGCACAGACACTCACTACATTGAATATCGAATATAGTCAAATTAACGGGTGTCCCAGGGAAAATGGGCCTCTCAGTATTTTTAAGATTTCTCCTCTATTGTCCCTGTAATTAAAGCTCTTTTTATTATCAAAAGATAGCGCTCGAAATTCTCTGCAAAATCATATATGACTAGCCCTAAAAGCTGTTTTAGATATATTTGAAAAAAGACAAAAACTGAAGACATACAAGCAACTGTAAAATTTAAATGGCACCAATAATAAACGGCTGCACTTTGTATTTCATATTTTAATCTCTAAATACGTTTTATTAAAAAAGCAAAATATACCATAAGATGCAGCATGAAAAGCTCTACAATCTACAAACTAAAGTTTATTTTAATTGTATACTTTTTGTTTTCAGAAAAAAAGCAAAACTCTGTGCGACAGATTTCATGGAATTTGGAGTTATTTTGAACTTAAAAATGGCACAAATGAAATAAACTCTTCTTTGTAAATTATAGAGCTATTCACGCTGCATCTTGTGCTATATTTTGATTTTTCTAAAGGAAATATATTAGGTGATAAAAAGATAAAATAAGAAAAAGGAATTCTCGTTCGTGTGAAAACAATGATTTTTTTCACAATGGCAAAAATTGGTTATACAGAATTTTGCTTTTTTGTAAACAAAAAGTATGCAATTAAAATAAACTTTAGTTTGTAGATTGTAGAGCTTTTCATGCTGCATCTTATGGTATATTTTGCTTTTTTAATAAAACGTATTTAGAGATTAAAATATGAAATGCAAAGTGCGGCCATTTATTATGGGACACCCGTTATTTAAATTTTACAGCTGCTTGTATGTCTTCAGTTTTTGTCTTTTTTCAAATATATCTAAAACAGCTTTTAGGCCTAGTCATATATGATTTTGTAGAGAATTTCGAGCGCTATCTTTTGATAATAAAAAGAGCTTTAATTACAGGGACAATAGAGGAGAAATCTTAAAAATACTGAGAGGCCCATTTTCCTGGGACACCCGTTAGTATCCAAGGAATAATTTATCTAGCTAATACGCTACGAAATAACACTGTCAGACCAATTATCTACTTTGCTTGATCATAGTTATCTTGTTCATTTCATATAGATACTCACCACCCTAAATCTTCGATATAATCGAATTGGAGATCAAGGCATAGAATACCTGGCCAATGTACTACAGCAAAATGCAGTAAGAACAGTTTTTTTTTTATTGATCTGCCGTATATTTACTTTATCGTTGAGAACAGACGCTTACTTTACTCAATCTTCAAATGAATCTAGTCGGCATTCGAGGAGCGCAATATCTAGCTAATATGTTAAAAAATAATCAAGTAAAATGACTACATTATCTAGTAATATATTCAATTTTATTATCTCACACAGACACTCACGACACTTAATCTTAAAATTAACCTGATCGGCGATAAAGGAATACAATATCTAGCTGAAGCATTACAAAATAATACGGTAAGACCTCTTTTGTATTTATTTATTTTATTACCAGTTTTATTTTTACATTTAGACATTAACTAGACTTAATCTTCGATTCAATCAAATCGGGGACCAAGGAGTATACTATTTAGCTAATGTATTAAAACATAACAAAGTAAGACAAGTTTATAATTAACTTCTTAAACATTCATTTTCATCAACGAATACAGACATTTACTACACTGGATCTTGCAGAGAATCGTATTGGTAATCAAGGAACAGAATATCTGACTGATGCGCTACAGAATAACATTGTAAAAAAAGTTTTATAACTATTTATCTCATATACATAAGTCTTATTCAATATAGACACTCACTACGTTGGACCTGAGATCGAATAGAATCGATAAACAAACGAAGAAACAATTTTTGACTGTAATCCGAAAATATAATAAAATATTGAAACTGTTCTTATGAAAAAGGCGTCTAATATTTGTTTTACAATGGATGGTTTCAACATATACGAACTCATGCTGATCCATCGAGTGATACTTCATTATTTATGCTTATGTTTAATATTCTTAGATATGCTGAATAAAATAATAATGATAATAATCTTACAGATTCGTCTAATCGTTACTTGAACCATCATCAAGTGACACTACAAAGATCTTCACTATGTTAGATATTTAGTTCATTTCTTCATTCTGTGATTGAAAAATAAGTTTCCTTAATGACTAAGATGTAGCTGATATCAAAACAGGTTCACCTGAAAAACGTCGAAAGAAAAATGTTAAAAGCTAAAAAAAGAGACATTTGTTCAAAGGTACAAAGCGAGAAATGAAAGTTGGTGAAAGTAGAGATCTCCTTCATCATCGTTCTCACTGTTTTGCTCTCGCCTGCCATTCTCATTTCTGTTTACTTGATTGAAGTTTTTGATTCAAAACTTGAATAAAACAAAAGTTTTTCTACAGATTTGTCTCTTGAAATTAATAAATTCTAAAATAAGAAATCTTATTTAGAAAAAATTGTGTTACAACACATTCTATGCGAATTCTAGTGAGTATAAAACCTTTCGAGTTCTGCTCACACAGTGTCTTTCGTAATCTCATCTCGATCATCGAAGAATATCAACTTTGGTAAGTTAGCACGTCCAGTATTCACAAAGTTTATTTAGTTGACATCGACAGTAAAACAATTCGTATTTCTTGTTGGTGACATGCTAATCATAAGAGTACACCAAACGATGATAAGCTTCAATTTTTCAATGAGTCTATTGAGAGTAGATAGTATAGAAACATCATCAATTGAATCTATAGATTTATAGAATATCAGTGTTCTCTTAACATCGTTCAATGAGAACCATTCCAGCATAAAATTTTCATATCGCCATAAATTAAGCGTGTTGTCGCCTAAGTTAATCATATCTTTATGTAAATGAGACCAAACAGCAGGAAACAAAGGGTGTGGGTGTGACAGTGGGTGTGAGTGTGAGTGTGGTTGTGAGTGCGGGTGTGGTGTAAGATGCAGGTGAAGAAAACACACAACCTACACCCACTCTACTTTGACACTAGGTGTTGAATGTCTGTCACCCATCATTCGCATGATAAAGCCAGGTGCGACTATACCACACATCTCCAAAAACACCAAGCAGAATTGGCCGAGTTCTTTCTGAATGTCACATCTAAATGCTAGGATACAAAAAGAAGTGAAATCATTTTCTTTTACTAGACAACTACATTATACATAGGACTATTTGATCGAGATATTATCACATACCACTTGCTAGTTTCTGTCCTAGTGTGTATTCTCTATTCCCGTACCTTATTGAGCTGAGACATGTCACTACTAGACTGATGATAGTCGCAGACGCAACTTAGCATGTCAAAAGGATCGAAAAAAAACTAAGTCTCCAGTATATCCTTGAATTTTCGACATCATCTCTTATCAAAATGTTTATCTTCAGCTTTATTAGCTGCTATAAAGCGTTTTTCCTATATATGTTATTCTTAATCAGTAAAGCAAAAGGTACTCTACAACAAATGTGATCCCTGTTTATATAACAGAAACTACCACTATAACAAAGCTTGACATTCCAAAAAAGCCAATGGATCCTTTTTCAAGATGCAGACGAATTTCTCAAACGATCGAGTCCTTTTTATTTCTTCATAGCCAAAAGATGTCTGTGGATTTGTAGATAAGAGGTGAAATGCAACATGTTGTAGTGAGCGAAATGAGATGGTGAGAGCCAAAACAGACTTGTCATAGTTAAAGACAGTTGGAGAATAACAAACAAAGTTCTTTTGGCCCCGTTACTGTCGTGTGCTCAAGTTTGAACCTGCTTCTGCCTCGGTCTCGATAGATTTACCACTTTTCAAAATCACAGGATAAAGAGAAGAGTATGTGCGGGTGTGGATATTGAAGAAGAAAAGATTCATACTCATACTCACACCCACACCCACACCCTCAAGTAAAAGCTGCGGAAATGCAAAAAAGATTATTGTTTCGTAACTAAATATTCGTGATTTTATTTTGATTAATTAAGTGCTTGTAAACTAGAAACATGATTCAAATCGTCAATATTTAGTCTTCTGAACTGTAATCAGTAGCAAAATCGTTTGGATCAATAACTTCTATCATATTGCCATCACCATCGATGCTTGAACAATGGTTAATAGCGTAGTTCAAACGTTCGTACATAATTTCAATTGTCGAATATGCAGGTAAATCGATGGTGAAAAAACATGTATGTGAACCTAAAAAAAATGAATCTCATGAGTTATCCATCATGATAGAATCTTTTGATCATATTTCAGTCTATCTCTTTCTGTTACAACGAACGAACATAACTCTTCGTCATTAACGCAAATTGTTATGGAAAGAAAATATGAAATCTTGGCATTAGCCTATGAACTTTATCATTTGTTGTGTATATAATTCGAGAGTCTTGAGCTGATTTGAAGTTTTAATAATGGTTGACTATGTTCACCAATATCTATTCATGTATATACCTACCAAATCATCATGATTCAATCAGCGTCATTTTATGGCTCAAAAAAATCAGCCTTGTAAGATAGACTATTTTTCGGAAGTTAATTCGATAGATTTCGTTGGATTACAGTGCCGAAGGGAGCACAGGGATGCGGTAGGGTCGAGACTCTTCAAAAAGTCCAAGTTTCCATCAGACAGCCGATTTCGATTATATCATGCGATTGAATTCCCATCGAATGGTTCTGAAAGAGATCATCTGTTGGCTCCCTCCACTGAGTTACTCGGAAATAGATGATGTGCCTATTCCTACTCCTAGAATTGGTTGAAATTTGTCTTGGAAAAAACGAGATCGTATCATTAATATGCATGAATATATGGGAAATGAGTAAGTCTGCAACAAAAAAAAGCCAATTCTAATCAATTCAATTTTCAACTGATTCCCAATCAAGAATTGAAATTGGAATTGGTGTATCTCTACGCAGGAAACAACTGTATCAGATTTTGAGATTATTATCAAAAGTTATATTTGATAAGTTAGATAACACTAGAACAATTGCAGCTTAAAGTTTTTGACTAATTTGAGGTGAATATCAAAATTGCATTAACTAACATGATAGTTAAGAATCTAATCTCAATCATGAAACATAACTTCGAACATTGTCGAAGAAATTGTATCTTGAAAATGTTTATCTAAAATGGTTGTTAAATTCTAAAACATAAAATTTTTCTAGGTAGTAATAGTGGCATAAAATGCATTTTTTTAATACTTTCGACTCCGACAAAATTTCCATCACCATAACAGTAGATCCACTATATTGTAGTCCATAAAATAAGACTTTTCATATCATGACAGTTAGTTCAACCAAAGTAATGTGCCAGTAAATTCTGAAACTGTTCGGTCTATCTTATAAATTGATAGAAGTGGCTTGATATGGGTGTCTTATCATCTTATGGAGTAGAAAGCTTTCCTCTCATGAAAACTCTTAATCACTTAAGAATAAGTTTATCTTGTGACAAAAATGTGAAAACCCTCATAAAAATGTGTGAAATAACAGTCAACATTCTTGCTAAACAAAAACCTATAGGTCAATCTTCTACATCTTCATGAATTAACTTTTTTTCTCAATTTCTAAATTTGACTTGAAAAACATTGAAGTTGTTCTCTTTTGTTTTGAATATCTACAAAGTTGAACATTACTTACGCGGAAGCACTTTATCCACCTCACCATTGCTTATATAATATGGATTAATAGTGAATCTCGACGTAAATTCTTCATCTCTACTCGGTAATATACTTCTTCCCCAAACAAATATCAAAAACAACTTTCTCTGATCGTCATCAAATAATTCACTTAGAACTTTCCAAAATCGTTGAATATGTGGTGAATCTTCACTAGCATTCTTATAATTCGTATTCCGTTTTAATAATTCAATATCCATTTGTCCTTTTCCACATACGGCTTCTTCAAGACTACTAGCTGTAAACAAACTTAAATAATAGCTTGGTACAATGTTATACAAGCCTTGACGAATAAATTCAATCTGTCGATGAAATTCATTTAGACGATATGCACAATAATATGCACAATATTGTTTTAAATTATCAGACGTAATTGGAATTTCTGCACCACCAGGAATAAGTTCATAAGTTTGTCCAGCAGAACTAACAATATCAAAACGTAGTTCACTCATAATACTACTAAACAAATAATTAATGTCACTATCGGTATCTATCGATTGATTTCGTTTTATTATCTTTTCCATTTCATTTATAATTGTAAAACTTTGCATATCAATCGCTTCAATATCTTCCATCGTTATTTGTTCTCCTACTAATTGTTTCCAAAGTAGAATGGGAAATTTTAAATCCAAGTAATGTTTTCTACGTATTGCCATACCCATCAATTGTCCAATGAATCGATAATGATTTTTTACTTTAGTTGGAATTGATTTATTCGGTGGAAATACATTTGGAATCCAACAATCACGATTCAAACCACTTTGTGTTCGTCCATTTGGACATAAAATAAACAATGATAATCGTTTACTACATATGTCTGAACAGATACGCGTTATTGAATCTCGATAGGGTCCACCTTGATCGGTACTATGCATTCCAATGTATTGTGCTAACCAAAGTTGTTCCTCCTGTCTTCGAAATAATACTTGAGCATTTTGATGTAATTGATCATAAGCTTGATGAAACATAGTAGCTTCGTCCTTATCATCAACATTACTTGCTTTCACCGTATCAAAGTTAACTGAAGGAATATCTTGTAACGATTTTGCACTAGTTTTCTGTAGAGATTTCTGAAACCATTGAAGCTTTGTTGAGTGTAATAAATAAGTTTTATGTGCTCGAAATTTATCTGTCAGAATACTCTGTCCCGGTGATAAAGTAAAATTGAGTAGTGGTACAACTTTTTCAATAAGCATACTTAATCGATAGAACAGTTTTGCACGAGTTATTATACAAGCAGCTGGAATATTTGATAGAGATGAATAAGTTTTGTAGAATGTCGCATCGGACATATTTTCGGTAGATAGACTCTGAATAAAATCTGTGAATAAATTGTTGATCAGCAATTGCTTATTCATAAAACTAATCAATTGTTGATCAGCTACCATATCGAAATGGCTATTCGATTCTTCGATATCATCTTGAGTGAATTTCGAAGATTCAGCTAAATCATCATCGATTGTTGAAAAAACAACTTCAGGAAACTGTGCTTGTCTCTTTTTATCATTCAACACATTGATAATATCGATTATTTTCAATATATCATGAAAATTTTGTGGACATTGTGCTAAATCGATTCTAAATTCTTGGTTTAGGTCATTTGTTAGATGCGTCGTAATTTGCTGATATTTCTGTCTTTCGAATAGTAGAAATACTAAGTCCATGAGATTGTTTTGTAACATTTTCACTGTTGAGTTAGTCATCAAATTATCTTTGTTTGATATTTCGATGAATAATTGGAATAAGAAATGTTGAATTCGTCCGTTCAAGTTGAAGTCTTTGCTTGCTTCAAGTAAACTATCAAACAAAAGAATAACACATAGAGTTATTTTTATTTTTAATATATCTAATATTGCTGATACTATTCCATACTGTAGGTTTTCGATTTGTAGAAATTCCAAACCTTCGTTCAAGAATGACTCAATACAGAAAGTTAGTTATACAGGGTGTAAAGAATATCCACAATAACACTCATACCCTCTATATATCATCATAATTTGATGTACATCTTCGTAGTTCAATTTACAACTTTATTCTCAACACATTAATACCCTTGCCATTCGTTAAGTAGAGAAGTATTTTCTCTACGAACTAGGTCATTGCATACCTTAATTTTTTCTTTATGTTTTTACACATGCTAAATTGGACTTCTTTCTTCTTGTCTATCTCTCTTTCCTTGTTCTTCTACCTTCACAAGGTTAGTGTTATTGAAAATAAGCCTAACTTACTTTCCCATGAAAACGTATAACTATGAGAAATTTTACTGTATATTGTCAATGTTTTTTTTACTTACGTGGAAAACAGATGAAGAATAAATATTGTCAATTGATGTGTTGGACTAATCAAAAATAGATCAAACAACAGATTGATTAATGATACTGGGAATAGCAGTGGAATAAGTAAATCACTGTCATGATGTTTCATTGTTGATTTATCGGTTGCCACTTGAACAAATAGATTCAATATTTTTACAACAAAATTCATACTTGATTGTTTGATCAATGTTTGTTCATCTATAGCCTTCGTCTCATTATCACAATCATATAGTAATAATGATGGATCAAACAATAATTGGATCAATTGAATAGTAATATCCTTTTGCAATTGATAGACTAAAGGAGCTACTCTATGTAAAATTTCACTGTGTTTGCTAGTATATTTTAATAATTCTTTTATTTCAGCTTTGAGTATCGAATTCGATAACAAACTTATGATATCAAAATCCTCATCTCTGTGCGTACTGATATACATATAATGATAATCCATCAATTGTAATAATGTAGTTATGAATGCACAATCACCAAATATTTCCCATGGAAATTTATTTGAACTATGATTTGACCAAACTTTTAACATATTGAACATAGTACAACGTGCATAGATCATTATTAATTCATGTTCACAGGCGGTACGTAAGGTCATGTATTTTTGTTTTGAAATTTGTCGATGTGAATATTGAATTGATTTTTTAATCTTTTTTCGTTGACCTCCTACAATTGATGTCATTGTTGATAGTTCTTGTTCAGATTTTGTTAAATCAAACAACTGATAAGTGAGATCTTCTGTTTCAATCATTTTTGTTTTACCTTGAATCCATTCATCTAGACTTTCATTGACATCTAAATCATGAACAATTTGATAGTACCATTTCTCGTTGGAAAATAAATTTTCATTTTCATTTGAATTAGCAACATTTTCTTTCGTTTCGTATGTCTTGGATAAAGATTTCGATGTCTGTAGATCATGCCAATGAAGCAATACAAGTTCATAAGCATTTGTCACTTGTTCGTCGGTAATAAATTTCGAGAACATGAGTAAATCTTCTAATTTTTCTCTATTGATCGATGGATTTAATCTCGAGAAAATATTGAAGTAACGTTTTTGTCGATTTTGAACATCGCTCTTTAAGAATTCTTCTTTTTTCTCACGTATAATTGTATCAATGAATTGAATGTTGCTCGTATTGTATTGTTTCATAGCATGTTTTATCCATGATTCTTTATATCCAATTGCAATTAAATTTAATGCAACGATTGAAAAAGGTGGTGCAATCAATGTTTCTAATGAATATTTTGTCGATTTCATTTCTTCACAATTATCAGCATCCACTAATGAATTATTTAGAAATGTAATCGATTTACATTCAATTCGAAGTCTATCATCACTAGTCGTATTCTTTGTTAAATCCATTTCTCGAAACAGATCAATTCGTTTGGCTTTTGTCATGAACTGATCTTTGTCGACATTGACACTCAGTTCCAATAATCCATTCACATAGATTTTGACAAATTTCTTTTGAAATGACATATGCAAACGAAAATATTCATTCAAATTTAATGTCGAATCACTTTTGTTTTGTGTTCCATTATTCGATAGAACAATTTTACCATTATGTGTAATATAAATTTCTGATTTTGTATTCAATGTCAATAGTGTCAATTGTTCGTTATCCGTTGGCCAATTGGGTATGCAAATATCGAGAATAAGTGTATATTCGTACCATGGATCAGCTGATTTATCCAGAACGAGATAAGTTTTGTTTCCAAATAATTGTACGACGGATTCATCGGTTTCAGCAATTGTTTTAAAATATTTTGATTCATCAACATCAATTTCTTTCTTCTTTTTCTCCCATATGTTCTCTTGAAATGGTTCATTAAACGGAACAAGTAATTCGCTTACAAATTGTTGTTGATTCTTACTGAATGTGATCGTATTTGCTCGTTTTCGATGTTCCTTCAACTGTTGATAATCGATTGCTACATAGAATAAGCCATAAGTGAATAGACGTTGAATATGTTCTTCCGAAAGAGCATATTTCCAAATGCCGAGATTTTTTATTCCAACGGCAATATTTGGTAAAATATGAAAATTGAGTTTTGTCATCTTTGGAATTTCAAAAGCAATGTGAAATTTTCGACATTCATTATTGAAGTAGATTATCATTTGTCGTTCTTTGAGATCGAATACAATGGCAGTTCGTATTTCGTTTTCGATTTTACTTATCGAGATTTGCACTGAGAATATTTCCGTAGACTCTAATGTAATTAATAAAATATCCAATTTTTTGTCAGTATCATTTTCAATTTTTCTTAAAATTTTAAAATCAAAACTAATTGTCAATGATGACAATGCATCATTATCGATCGAAAGTGGTAAACCATTACTATTTTCTGGCAATACCAATTGATGATCATCCATAGAGAATGCTGTTTCAAGATGATGTTCACTTACAAAATCACGTAGAAAAGTCGTCGGCGTTGTACTGCGTAGTGTATGAAAATTATTTTGAACATGATCATCAATTAAATAAGCACTGTAAGGATAAGCGACAATAGAATTTTCAACATTGATCAATTTCGGCAGTTGTAATGGCTTGTAACCTTTCGGTAATGGACATTTTGTCATGTCTTCTGGACTAAAAATTAATTCACAACCAGTCCTATAATAAGAATGCATTTGTAAAGTAACACCAGGAAAATAAGCGATATCCTGCTGCCCATTTGGTAGCATATTACATTTTGTTGTTGTCGATGCTATATTTGATTGATGTTCAAAAGCTATACCAAGATATTTTCCATTGAGCCAATATTTAATACAAATATTCTCATCATCAATTTCAATACCACAACCACAAACATCATTTTCTTTCCACCGAATATCATCAGAAGTAAAATGAAATTCTTCACCATTGTAAAGTGTACCCCGTGATCCATCGTACGACCAAGAATATTTATCATCACCTATTCCACGACCCTTATCTGAAGAAGGTACAAATCCATTTGTTGCCCATCCGATTTGAATAACACCGCCGGCTACTAGTTTAACACAATAATACCATTTACCTTCACTTACTTGTACATTATCAATAATGTACGTTGGAAATGATCCATTTGTATTTTCTCTATTCGGAGTAATTCGTCCTTTGAATTTATGATTATTACCACATTCTTCGAATACACTCGAATCACTAATATCAAACGGCATTGAAACAATTGAAGGTTCATTACTTCCGATTCGACCTCTTTTAAACGATTCAATTTCAATAGCTGATGCATATGGTTTCCAACCATTATATTTCAATATATTCATTGATAGAGCATCGACAATCAATTGATTGCAACTAATTTGATCATTATTCCAAACGTATGACGAAAATTTATGTTTACCATTTACAACTATCACATCATGTAATAGTTGATTACTATTATCATCATTGTTATATGCGATTTTATTTAAGCTTAGATACTTATCTAAACTTAAACAATACTGTTCCAAATGTTGTCTATTCAATAACCGTAAATCAGACAGTTGCCGACGATTTTTTGACAATGACTGAGATATAGATAAGTTAACAATAACAGATGCATATGGTTTTTGCATAAAAATTTCGACGAGAGTTTTATCATTTAATATATGATATAGAACGGCTACTGAACGACGTTTCAGTTCTAATAATGGTACAGATTCATTTGTCGACGTATCGATTTGTATGAAATATGCTAATGCATCGAAAAGTGAATGTATGGCTGTATTTGTTTCGTTTGCATTTGATAACAAGAGTAGATTTGGTGGTGAAACATCGATTTCAATTTGTAGTTCATCAATTGTCACTGTTTCAATTTGATTCGTTTCTAAATATTGAATCAAATAGGTCAACGTATCGGGTGTATCCGAATCACTAGCATTCACGTCAATTTCTATGATAATCGCCAATTGGAATTCATTATTTTCTTCATCTGAATAGATTTTCACAATGGAACCTAAATAATAAGGCTGAATATATCCACCTAATATACATAGTGATGCAACCAAAGAATTCATTTGAGTCATGTCACCAGTTTCGAATGATTTCAAATTGAAATTGTTTTTGTTTGATGTGATAGTATCGAAAATAAATTCTGTTGCTATCATTTGCCATGGTGATTTTACAGACATCACTGTACGATACAAGTAGATTAGTTCGGTGATAATGTATGATGGAATCTGTTGCAAAGTGAAACTATTTCCAATGGCAAATAGAATCTCGGTCAAAAAATTCTCAATAATACTTCTTGATTCTTTATTTGTATGTTTTGGTATTAGATAACGTAAAATTTTCAATGAAAGAAAACCAGTAACACTATTTTGAAAGTTGCGATAAATGTATAGCAAATTTTCAATGTAATCAATTGTTGCACAAACAGATTGAACATGTTCGTAAAAATGAACAAGACGAAGTAGAAGTATCAACCATTGATTTATACACAGTTCAATATCGAATTTCGATGATAGACAATTTGAAAGATTTAATGTATCATCTTCAGTTGTTGTAGTTGCTATTTTAATGAACCAACCAATAGAAAGATTATCTAAAGAATTCTTTTTGTAATTTGAAGAACAAGTAGTTTCATTTTCTATATCGATTGGTACCGTTTGTGTTAATCCTTTCAGTTCGTTTGAAATCAAAGTATTGAAAACAAATTTCTGTTGTTGATTTATAATTTCATTAATCGTGCCTTTCTGTTCTGTCAATTCGATGATTTCACATAGTTTCAATACGAACAATCGAAACCAATTATATCCAATCAATTTTCTATAGAATCCAACGTTGTAATCTGATTTTTCAACAAAACTAACAAACAATGTAAATAATGTTTGTACAAAATGATCACGATACAGATACTCAATATCAACTGCTTCATATGATAAGTTTAGTAAATTGAACAGATTTATCGATAAGAACTTTGATTCAGACATGGTCGATTGTAATACATAGGATAGAACAGTTTTGATTATAGAATAATAACTATTTCTAATCTCTTCTTTCAAATTACAAGTTGATGCTTCTATATTTTCCAAATAGGTCCATTCTAAATTTGTATTTCTTAAGCATGGTAAAAAGACAGATAAGATAGTTAGAACTAGATTTTGATCTTCAATATTTAATACTTTTTGAATAAGTGTTTGAATAAATCGATATGTTATCATTCTTATCATTGCTCGTTCATACTGTCGTGACATACATTGAATAAGTTCATCCGATTCTAATTGTTTTTCTTCACTTGTTATCGTTTTATAAGGATCACTATAAATATAAGCATCAATTGTTCGATTTAAGATACTTTCATTGTCTGACTTTTGTCTAATAGCTTGTTTCTTAGCTATCATCAATTTTTTAAATCTTACACAAGCATTCATTGTATTTCGAAGTAATTGATTGATACGTTTCGCTTTTGTCCATCGTGAAATTTGTCGATTAAAGGATGGTCTTGTTTTTTGTTCTATTGGTGTCATTATTGGCGTAGTTGTTGTTGTTGTTGATTGTAAAAGATCTTCATCGATTATCGGAATCGAATTACTTTCTTGAACACATGACAAAAGAAACAATGTATTCGTTTTTATCTGTTTGTAAAGTTCATCACAGTCACCACCTTGTGCTTTTGTTGTTGCAAATAATGTTTGAACATAACTAGCATATTCATAGATTGATACAAGTTTATTGTGTGGTTTTCCATCATCTGTTCGAGATAATTCGTATTTAGCTAAATTAATTCGACGATAATATTTAATATAGACAGCAAATACAGCAGCTAATGCATCATTTGCTTGTTGTTCAATTGATTTTTGTAATAAACGTTGTTTATCTTTTATATGTGTTTTCATTTTCGATATCAATTGTGCACCCTGATTAGTATTATTATAAACTGACATGAGAAATTCATGATCGGAAGATGACTGTTCAATTTCATTAGTCCATTTAAATTGTTGACTGTAAGTAGCTAAAGGAGATTCGAATATATTCAATAAATATTTATTGTTTTCTATTATTGTTCTTTCACAACCACCAGCAAATAAGGATGACTTTAATTTATTAGCATGTTTCTTTTCTATTAAATTTTGTTGTGAACCAGTAATCATGACATTACACATTTTTCCTAACAACCAACATATACTACGTAAATTATTGTTTTCATTTTCTTCATTGTTTACACTTTGAAATACATATTCTACTAATATTGGTATAGTAGTTGTAAATATTGGTCGAATTATTTCAAAGTCAAATATTTCATTTGTTTTCGTCATTAGACACAAACCCACAAGCATTGAATTGAACAAATCATTCATAATTGTTAGTTTATCTATATAATTACTTAATATGTGAGTTATATACTTAACTACCAGGGATGATACAGCACTTGGAGCCACAGTTGTAAAGATTTCATTATCAGACTCTTTGTTTTGATTTGTTTTCAATTTAGATTCTGGTACTAATCGCATAAATAAAACTTGTTGAAATAGTATTAGTATTCGTTTGAGTTCCTGTTGTTGTTCATTTGTTATTTCGTTCGATGGTTTGAAGCAATTGTCAATGAATGAATAAAGTATTTTCAATGCTGTAATTTGTTCTGACTCGTTACTATTGTCATGACATAAAGTTTCGATCCAGTTTAGTAAGACAACATTTTTCGTCAACTCTTTACATAATTGTTGTACAAACATTGGATGTTTATTTTCAATTATGTGTTTATGAATAAATGATAGCTTTTCTATAAATGACAATGTCCGTACATCAAAGACGTAAATAAGAGCCTTTGATGCTTGACTACATATGATTGCCTGCTCAAGTCTTCCATCATCAATACAAACTAGTTTCAACAAAATTTCAAACCATTTTTGTAATTGATCATCTGTTGCAAATGCTATTAAATTGCGATGAGCATCCGATGAAGCCATGGTGGAAGATTGAACAACTTTTTCAACTTTATCATTTCTAGTCAATAAATATTTGTCAATATTCGATTTTGCAGAACATAAAATTTCCAAATGTGTTGTACATAATTGTAAACAAACGGTTAAAATATGAACAACAACTGCATCCCAAGTCTCTGTTATTATTGTTGTTAGTTCGTCAATGATTTGAAACAACCATTTGAATGTATCTGGGTGAAATTCGAATGATATCGAACTATTGACTAAATCACGTTCAGATTGTTCGACTGAGTTAAGTTCATTATCGAAGTTGATATGTGCCAAAATAATAGATGATATAAATTGTCCGGTAAATTGTTTATCATTTAATTTCATCAATTCTGTATTTGGATATACGCCAAGTTTTTTTAAATAATTCAATGACATCAATGTTCTTTCCTCTAAAAATATAAATCCTCTTTGAATGATGTACATCTTCAATAGACTCGAGATAGGCATCAGGTATTTCTAGATAAAAGACTAAAGTTTTATATATTTGATCTGGCAAGGTTACCGAATATTTAAATATTATTCATTACAGATAGTTGTTCTTAGTATAGTTAATCCAGTTGCTACTGATTGGATTCTGCGAGGAAAATATTTTAATGGAGTAGAGGATTATACATTCATACCTTTAGTTAAATTGACAAAGATAGGTAAGTACTAAAATCTGTAATTTACTGAATATTTCGTTCTCCGAACGAATAGTTAGAGACTTTAATAGAAGTCTAAGAGATGAATCAAGATAAATATTCTACAGATTATCATCAACACATAATTAGTAAAAATATCGATGGATCACTACCTAGAAAAAACTTCTTGTTATGGTCAATATACATCAAGTTCAGTGATCAGAAACTTTTTTGAGATCATCTTTAGATAGTCCTAAGCTCATCATAAACTCCATGGGAAATTCAGCTTCTTACATCTGTGTCGAATTATACGATTTTTTCTCGTGTAATTTATGATCAAAATCAACAAGCAAAATAAGTACTTCTGTTTATTCTTTGTCTCACTTTATTTTTCTATTTTTACATGAACTATTTGGCTATCAATCATATACTATTCGATAGAAGAAAAACTACACTACACGAGCGAGTACTTTTTATTAATAACTAACCTGCGAAAGATTTCGATTTCAATGAATAATCATGTACAGCTGCAAATCTGCAGTAAATGTCATTTTCCTGTTCCAAAATACGATCAAAAGCAACTTCTATATACATCATGAGAAAAAACATTCAAAATCACATGCTGCATCTAAGATCATCGATAATTGTATTTTTTAGGTTTTGATTATTGTTCATGATTGTATAGAAAAATTTCTCTACAAAGTGGTTTGATCATTTTTCGAAAACACGTATTCTTAAGTCATGTCAGTTTTTAAAAATGGTTCGCTAACTTTGTATTTATTAGGATCTCCACACATGTTGATTAACTGAAACGATAAAATGTCAATCAAATTATCATTGACCGTTTAATTCAGTCAATTTCGAAACATTAAAAAAAATTCAAAATGTACAGCATTCCCATTCGATACTTAGCGAATTATTTTATGAAACACGATTGGTAATGAGTGTCAACGTATATAGCAATAAAGTTGAACGATCGCTATCTCCCGATCGATCTCACAAGGCGTAAGAGACATACAAAATATATTATTCTACTTGACTGTGAAGTATAATATGGTCGAAGTGACTAGAATTATTGATTATGAGTAAAAGGAATTCATCATTATTGCACATTTTAATGTGGACGTGATTATACTGAAAGCTTTCATGCTTGAATGATCTATAAAATAGGCATTGCCTACAACATCTCAGTAGAAGAGTCAATTACTAGAAAAATATCGAAATATGTCTCTAAATCTGAACAAAATATATTTAAAGCATTACTGACCAATCCAAATATGCTTGTATCGGCCACATCGTTGCTGATTCAATGTCTGACATGCTGTACATTGTGGTCCATTGGTAGGTCCACAATATCTATCACTTGTACCATCATCTGGCATAACCTTGCGACCACAATAGAATGTTGTCGGTATACTTGGACTACATCGTGCTGGTGCTCCTTCGTTGTTTACAAGCCATCCTCGAGGCAATACTTGTTTTTGAACATCAAGCAGCATGCACGATGAGCAATTGCAACCACTTGTTTGTCCACATTTACCATTACAACAGCTACACTGTGGTCCATCGAGTGTACCACCACAATAGAATTTTCCTGTGCTACCCAAACGAGCATATCGACCTCGATTGTTAAGTGTTTTTTCAAGACGATCATCAAATTCTATAGTACTGTCATTGGTGGATGTTGCTGATAAATTGCAGATAACGAAAAATAAAATTTTATAACAATAAATTCGCTAAAGAGAGCTATCAATTTTCTAGAGTAGTAGATGTTTAACCAATCGAAATATAGAAACATCATTATAAGTAAGTTAGAATATTTGAAAATCAGTGGTACTTCTCTGCTCTGTAGGATTTTACATTAAATCATCAAAACTTATTTGGCAATAATCGTTACGGATTACAAATCAGTGGAACACTACATATTCAAAATCTCATCGCACAGTTTTAATTGTTTTTTGTACTTTTTCACTTTTAAACAAACTGAACTGAATTTGATGAACTGTACGAATGCTTGGATCAGATGATAAAAGTGTATTAGCTAGATTTATTCAACGTCTCATTCTAAAGAACACTCAGGATATATCTCCAGGTGTCAGAATTAAATAGGCATTAAAACATTCGCCAATGAATTGAATATACATAATCCTGAATGATACAAGAAAATCGAAATATTTTTGCGGATTTTGTACAGTTTCAACGAGCAGAGTGACTGAAGTAAAATAAATAAAAGAAACTAAATATAGTTGGGAAGTTTCGTGTCAATTACCTTAACCAATTCATTTTCATAGTAATTCAGTAGTCTTACACCATTTTCTGCATCAGAATTATACTGAAAATGTATTCTTTATCGAAATTTAGTTTTCTAAGAAAACTACCAGCGAACTTTTCATTCATAGAAGGGTTCAATGTTTTATATTTTGTTCTAAGTGAGACTTCTTACGTTCACAAAATGTATTATCTATGTCCTAATCTTTATCTTGATCAATAGTAGTTATAAAGCTAAGATAGTTATAAAGCAAATTGAATATGTGTGAGGCGACAATAGCTTTTTTTTGTATTTTTTGGTTTAAATCTTGCTTTGTTTATGGGTTTTCAATTTATTGGTACTTTTTGAAGTTTTATCAAGCTTTTTTCATCATTATGGTTATTTAACATTTAAATGTACTATGAAAGATAAAATGTTTCCATTAAAGAAAAGTAGACGATTACCAGTAGATTTAACATCTTTTACATCTCCTATTTTGTAACTGTCAAAATAACGATAACATTTTTAAAATTTGACTAAATTCCTACGTAAAAGCGTGTATCAAAGATATTACATACCAGTCCAAATTTGGTTATATCGACCACTTCGCTGTTGGTTCAATTTCTGACATGCGGTGCATTGTGGTCCATTGGTAGGTCCACAATATCCATCACTTGTACCATCATTTGGCATAACCTTACGACCACAATAGAATGTTCTCGTTTCCTGTCTGCTACAACGTGCTGATGCACCGTCACGATTGACAAGCCATCCTCGAGACAAAGCTCGTTTCTGAACATCAAGCAACATGCACGATGAGCAATTGCAACCACTTGTTGGTCCACATTTACCATTACAACAGCTACACTGCAGTCCATCGAGTGCACCACCACAATAGAATTTTCCTGTACTACCCAAACGAGCATATTGACCTCGATTGTTAAGTGCTCTTTCAAGACGATCATCAGATTCTATAGTACTGTCATTGGTAGACGTTGCTGATGAATCAACATTGACTAAAAATAAAGTTTTATAAGGATAACTATGAATGAAGGAGGTGTCCATTATGGTACAGTAATGAGTGCTTTTTTGATATCTCGTTGATTTTCTGTTGTCCTAGAGAGAAACAACTATCTCTAAAGTTTGAAAGTTAAGATAGAGTCACTTGAAGCCAGCTGCTTCCCTCCTGAGAAATAATTATTAAGAAGTATTATTTATCCATCGAAAAGAACTTTTGAAAGTATTTTCCAAGCAGTATAGAATTGAACAGTGCTCATTCAACAACGCTAGCGAATGAGTGACGGATAATAAATAAGTACTAAGGAAGTGTAATAAATTTGGTTCTCAATTCATTTGATAAAGAATTTATTTTTCTACAAAACTCTCGACTTGGCTTTTCAAATAAGTTTACCTGGTAGGTACAAAATTAAAAAGATCAATGCTCATTAAATCGTCCCATCGCAAAAATAAAAAGCTTTCAGCGTAAACCCTAAGAAATTAAAATGTGCAACACGATGGGTTCGTTCTATTTGTTAAACAGAGAACTAGCCACATGAAGCATTGTAATATTCACAAGCTTTGTTAATTCTGTCTGTTACATGTCTAAAATACTTCACTATTCATTTTCAATCATGTTTCATAAAATTAACTGCTTATGTGTAGTCCACGTAGCATGTCGTAATCGTGAAGCAATTCTTCGAAGCATTTTGTTCTTTTCTGTTAAGGTTCTAAACTGCATGTGCTAGGTATTCTGCAAACCAACTTTCATACTTGATTAACCTCAATTGCGCATAATAATATAGGTTTTTCATCATGCTATACACGATGAAAATGTTTCTTCACTTTCTCCACACAGAGATAAGGACAATACTGAAAGGTTAGCAAAACACTTGCTTTTTTTTTCACTGTATGTACCTTTCAATGAAATTACTAATATTCAGTCAGTTTTCAAATACTTTAGCTCAAACTTTCAGGAAAGATTGGTTAGACATTCGTCTACTCCATGGCAATATTAGGAAAAAAATAATTAATTCTCGATAGATTTCCAAAAACCTTTTATACAACTTATATGGTTTTAAGAAAAAAAAATTGATATTTTTACATTTATATGATGCTCAGAAATGTTTTGAAAGTTTGGGCTTAATCGTTTGAGAACTAATGGAAAATTAATGATCTTATCCGAAGACTAATACAATGAAAAACCGAGTGTCTTGCTAATCTTTATGTGTCGTTCTCATCTCTGTTCAGAAAAGGAAAGAAACATTCTCATCGTGTTTAGCATTTTGGCACTTTAATGGAAGAATGAAAATATTTGCAGTTTAGGTAACTTCGTAGAAAATATTCTTGGCTAAAAATGGCTTGATTTAAATAGAAAATCAGCAATAACTTCCTTGATTGATAGGCTATCGTTTACAAAGCTCTCTCAAGAAAATCATCTGAAAATTGCCTAAGGATTTCGGCTCTTATATATAATTATGTATCATAGTTTTGACTACATGATAGCGAAAAACTGATTTTCCTAATTATTTTTCGTCTCATGATACGAAGCTCAATTGTTTCCTATCTTCCATTTTGAATTGAATTGCAATTCTCAATTGAATGTAAAGTCACTATGTAACATTTGATATGACTTTCGAATAATATGTGTAAAATTTTCAACAGGAAACTTTTTCGAAAGTTCGTATACTCAGCAATAAGTTTTTTTTGTTGTTTCACGATATCTAGCTTCGATGCTGAAATATTGTGCCTTAACCTATCATTAAAAATATGAATTTCGTAAACAAATGATTTGTTTTCGAAATCTAATCAAGTTTTGTAGTTGAAATTTTTGATTTTTGCACGCAAACCTTAACGAGGATGCAATAGAGCCCACTGAACAATATTCTGACCTGCTGTTTCGTTCAATGTTGTATTATCACCGTGTTCTCGTCCGTAATATGGATCCTCATCATCGTCTACAGTTTCATCTTCATCGTCATTTTCGTCTTCATCTTCATTTTCATCTTCATCTTCGCTTGAGTCTGAATCTGCACTCCAGGTGCTTGCTTTTCTATTGACTGCCTGATGCATTCTATTTTCCCTTTCATTGATAGTTTCTATTAAACCATCATTCATTTGTAGCAACAGACCTCGCACATCATAAATATCGTCTTTGTTGAATATTAACTTGCTCAATATCGGCAAAATATCTTTCAATGATGCTTTTGCAATTGAAATACTTAATAGAATTTTAACAGCATGTTTTATCACAATTTGATCTTCTGATAAAAACAATTCATGCATGTAATTTGCCAATGGTTTCAACGATTTCCATAATAGATTATTTGTATCTCGAGATAATGCAGACGACGATAAACATTTCATCGGAATTTGTTCACATAATTCACTTGCTAGTCCCAAAATTTGATCAACAATTCTAGGATCATTCTTTTCAGCGGATCTTATCAGAATTAATAATATTGATGTTAATGTTTGTAAACCAAAGAATGACAATTTTTGAAATTGATATTCAGCCTTGTGTTGCTCACCAGTTGTCCTTTTGACGGCAACCTGTCCTTTCTGCTCTGTACGTGGAGTAGCATATGGTTCCAAAAAAACAGATCTATTGATATTTTTATCTATTTCCAATTTTTTCTTCAAAGCTTCTTGTAATCGTTGTTGAGCTTTCAAAATATCTTGAATATCTTTCATTGTTCTTTGGTAATGATTAGTCACAAATTTCAAAATATCTTTCATAAGTATTTTATTAATTTCGGAGTTAATTTCTGTCTGTTCGGTTGTATTTATTAGTAGCAATAGATTATTTTGAATTTGTTTTATTAATTTATTTTCTGAGTTCAATAATGAGTGATCATTATCTGATAGAATTGGACTTCTCGATGTACCAGTAACATTTTTTATCGTTAAGAATAAATTAAAATCTTCTTTACCATTGCTTGATACGATTGTATCAGAACTGAGTGTCACATCGCCCACTTTAGTCGATTCAATAATTTTCAATTTAATTTTCGACAACTGTGAACCCATTTTTTTTCATTTACCAGAGTATAGACGTGATTTAAATGTTTAAATTAGAATGCGCTATACATGACACATTCTATCATTGTTTAAAGAAAATCTGAAACATATAAAAATGATTACTTTTTCTCTTTTACTAGCGTATGTTCTTTGCGAGTATGTAGGTAATGGCGAGTAGGACGACTGAAGATCTTTTCTTCACTCATACGCACACCTATCCCATAAAAAAAAGAACAAAATGATAAAGATAAGCAAATAAGTTCGAAATGAATCCTGTAAAACATCAGAAAATAAGGCGATTTTCTTTTAGACTATTAGAAACATATATTTTTTCTATCAATATCATTTGAAATGCAATAATTCGATGCATCATTTTTCACCAACATTTTAGTCGAAGCAGAACTTTGAATAGGTTGAAACTTTAAAGAAAAACAAGGTTGTTTCTTTTTAAAACTTTTCAATTTTCAATTCAATCATTTCATAGAAGAAAGAACATATCTACAAAAAAAAATTACCAATTGATAAGTTATAAAGTTTTCTATAAAAAAAAATGTGTCCTACTTTGTGCTTTTCTTGAGCAATTCTACAAATACTCCACGCCTGTAAACATTCGAGAGTAAGAGGTTAATTCTTTCTAACTATGGTGGAGAAAGTTATCAAATTATTGCTTGTGGTAAGATTATGTCAGAGTGATCAAGCGTGCAGTACCTATGGTTTCTTTCGGCACAATATGAAAAATTAAGATTTCAGTATTTTCGTTTTTCATTCATCTGAGTTCGTCTCTTTCTAGCAGAACTTTCGATCAGTTCAAAAACAGATCTAGTATTCCTTTTCATTATCTCATGCAGTCTTTCCTATTCACAACCACTTCTAGCCAAAATTGCCTACTATTTGTTTTTGCTTTTGTCGTTGCTCTTTGCTAACTAACGGGCGCGACACAATACATTTATTCCTAAGAATTATAATCTTTTTTTGTTTGTTAAATCAAAGAAGTATATTTCTTATCGTAAACGAAAAGAACAAGGTGTTTAACAATGCATGAAGAATCAAACACGATAGTACAAACTGATAAATGGAACCTTCAGCATGACGTGAATAGAAGCCAATTCATATAAAAAAAATAATGTCACTTGAATAAACAATAGGTTTGATAAGACAGTTTCATAAAAAGAGTAAGTTGAATGGTCGTATATCTTAGGCTAATTGTTTGTATTACGTGTCAAAAAACTATGAAGTATGCTTTGATTAATAGAAATATACAGTTTTGTAGAGACTTCAAAGTTGAATTTTGTAATGAAAAAAAAATTTTCTGAAATACCAAGAAAATATTGAGATATTGGAAAAATATTGAAACTACCATTTATTCTACAGTACACGTTACTGTGGGGAATATGTGAAATGATATCGCCAACAAGATATAGCCTTTGCTCCAATGTCAAGAATAATACATCGTGTATTTCGATTGAGAAATATGGGAATAATTCCAGTTTCATGTACATACGTCAATACGATCACTGTCTCTGACTTTATAATAAACCTGCATTATTTGATGGTGGATGGGTAAGAAAACTTCTGTCCAAACCCTGTACTTATATGCACCCACCGTCTCCGATCACATCAAGATTGACTTGACATTTTCAAATGAAATATTACTTTTCGGATCGATTCAGGCATAAATTATGGTCTCGATTGATTGGAATCAATTTTTCAGTAAATAGGAAAATTTTGAAACTTTGTATCTCTTGTGATCTTCAACGAATCGATATGAAATTTCTCTGACAATATTCTATCGCAAAGATAGAGTCACAGGCAAATTTTTAGTTTGATTCGTTAAGATAGATCTTTTTCGTTTCTGGCCTGTCATGGACTATGAAAAAAAGCCAGAAACTGAAATTTTTAATCATTGTAATACCGAAAGGGATCGACTTATTAAATTGAAATTTTCCAGGCAGTCTTATATCTGTGTCGATAAAGGGATGTGGGTATGGGATATGAATGGAGAGAAGATACACTCACACCCTATGTCTCATAATAATCTTAGAAAAAAAGCATTTCTCTAAATGCTCTCTGGTTCTCAATATCAAAAGACTCAAACCATTCCTCTGTGTTCTCGATATGAATTAACAAAATTTTTCAAACTGGAAAACGAGATTTTCTCCGGCTTTGAGAGCAATTATCTCTCAGAAATGAAGGAGTGCTTTATCCGAATATATTTTCCTTCGTTTTTGATATTGACCCATTCAATGAGAAGCTGTAAACTGAAATCATCATCATATCATAATAGTGTCATTATTGTTTCAGCAAAAAACGAACATACTTGAAAAGCCAGTACTTTCCATGATATCTCCTTGAAATATTCATCAAACCTATGTTGATCTTAATACATCAAGACGAAGACAATATCTGTTTTGTGCCGCAGTTCAATCTGAAATTCCTTGAGGAGTTCGACTAATTTCGATCAGAAATCGTGATACGACAGACGTTAGGAAGCCCTATAAAAATCGATATCATTTATTAAAAGTCAAAGTAAAAAATACTGACGAGAGATAGTATCAATGTTTTTTTCTCGATTTGTTTAACCGAGATTTCATTCAGTTTATCACATGAAAGCGAATGCTCGCCAAGTAGATTGTTAAGGATTCACGTCATCGTTCCTGCAACGAGATGATGTTAATTGGTTTTGATAACCACGGTAAACAGTAAGTGCCATCTGGTTTTTTTTACCATGATGAAATATTCGATGGATCGATTTGACTATTTGCGTACAATTGCATTTGACTACTCGCTTCTTTATCGTCTTTCTTCACTACCACGTGAGTATTCCTTGCTTGTTCTGTAAAAAAATGAATTTCTTATGTCAACATAAATAAAAATATCTAGAAGAATCCAAAGTTCGTCATAAAGAAATCGTTGTTGTTTTTTTGTGATGAATAATTCCATCTTGTCATCTAGCTATCAGTTTTCAATATCAGCTTCCAAACAGATCATTTTTTTTTCATACAAAAACTGAAGCTTCTCATGTTTGTTTATTAGCCTCAATATTTTTACAAATCATCGATCTCTGATTGTAGACGAATGTATGTGCAAGTCAGAAGCACACGTTGGGAGAGAAAGGAATCGGAAATATACTCTTACTTGAATGTTGTACAACTATTTCTGCTTGTTTATAACAAATTTATGTTTGTTCCTTCCTAAAAAGTTTTAGATTAGATGGATGTGATGGCTGTATGGCGACAATACACTGCTGATGAGTGTGAGTCTTGGTGTGAACGTGGCAGCAAGACCTACAAGTAACGAGAACATTTGATAAAATGCTTTTAAAGAAAAAAAAAATTGACAAAACTGTTTCGATCATGCGTTCTTCGATAAAAACAACTGCGTCCTCAAAACAAATGCTTGTTTGATTAGAAATATAATTCGTTTGTGGTTGGCGTTGTTTATGCACATGTTTTTTCTTTGTCCTTTTTTTTCGCGAGAAGTCGATGTTCTTGCACACAATACATTAACCTTGTTTCTTTCATTTACATAGCGAATTTTTGATAAGATATTAAAGAAAGGAGTAGTTTTTTCACCTTCAGCATTTTTTCAACTTGCAAGAAAAATATACAATGCCGTAATTCATAAAGAGTGTGCGCTGAATCATACGATATTTGTAATCATGGCAAGATGTTTTTTATACAAGCTAATTTTTTTTATAATACTGCTGTCATGCATAGCAATAAGGACGTGAGTCTAGATCTGAATCTTTTCTACACTCACACTCATCCTCAGAGAAATAGAATAATTTAATTTATTCGTAAATTAAATTGAATGTAGATATAAACTATCCCTCTACTCTACACACACTACAACCGTTGGGAAGAAGTTGCTAGGAGATTTCAGCTCGACTTCAAGACAAGGAAAATTTCGTCGAAAAGAACAAAGGAATTTTACTTTATTGGGTAGAGAAGATCTTCACTAAATTGAGCTTCGTTTTATTTTTCAACAAACCTCTGTATGTATACCTGTAGCAACAATATCTAATTGTCTATCGCTATGAATATTAGCATATGTAACGTTTTCCGCAAGAGAGCCTAACGCATGTAAAAAAAAAAACATCTCAAAATTAGATTAAAATTGATTATTTTTGTGGATTAAAAATCGTTTCAAACGGCACCATTTTAAGCAGATGTTTCATCGTTAAAGACAGATTTCATTCGATTTTTATCTTTTTTAATCTATTTTAATCAATTAACAAACAAATGCAATCTATCTTTAAGACTGAAAAATCTGATTAAAATCAGATTTCAATAATGCCACTTTTTTACATGGAAAGTTAGTTGAATATTTACTGCAAAGATCGATTGGTATCTTTGAGATTTTTATTGATAATCTTTGATGAGAATAAAATGATTGTCTACTTATGGATTGGCAGATTAGTCGAGTATTCTCAATGGAACAAAGAAAGATGGATATCTTTTAGGGGGTATATAGCTCTTCGCGTTTCTTAATATATTATAGAGCGTGCAAAGTTATAAATCTTGTGCTTTTCATAATTTGTTGTCTTTTTTTGTTATAATTTCGCTCTGGATTACTAGAACAGAGACAGTATCTTGAAAGTCTTTTTCGACAACATATGAGTACAGATATAGTTGTGAATATTTATGTCGCTCGCACATCACAGCTACACCCATGATGAAGAATCGAGTGTAATAAATCACCATAAATAACTCTCTAGAGTAATACCGTATCGTTGTGTTATCTATACATGGTATGGATTAGGAATAAGAAGTCAAGTAGAAATTAAGAATGATCATTTATATCTTACCGCGACATTTGCAGGGTGTTTGGGTAATTATTGCAAGATGAGAAGAAGAAGTGAAATGCTGTTCTTGTCGTTATCATTCTTTTTCTTGTAGAAAGTAAAAGAAATAAACTTCTTATTTTATATTTCACGTCAGAGAAAATGTGAGATACTTTCAGTTTCACAGATAAAGTTTTAAATTGCTCGAAAGAACATGAGTTTACAGTGTGTTGTCTTTCTTTAATCGATGAAATACTTGAAGAAAAAAATATGAGAAAACTCAGATGAATAAATATATGTTCTTTTGATACTTTTTTCGATGAATGGTGTAAAGTTGAACAAAATAAACAGAACAAGAGCAAAATAGGATGTGAATGTTAATCGAAAAACAGACTGATCTAAATATTTAAGCTACAAATTAATCTGCTGATATGATATGTGTTAAAAAGGCCAAATGGAAAAACGTCGAAAAATGAATATCGAAGCAAATTTGACCGTTGAAATATATCAAAAATTTCAAGATATCGTCATGAAACAATACTAATTTTTAGTGTGAAGCGTGCGTGTGTATTCTCTTTATCCACAGCCACACAAGGAAGAAACAGCATACTTCAAGACTTCAACAAGAGAGACTGCTGAGAGTTCAGAAACTTCGCGGAACTTCACAGGACATTGCAAGACTTCATTGGACTTCAAGAGACTTCATGAGACCTCAGAAGACTTCTAAAGACTTCAAGTCTTCATGAGGCTTCACAAATACGATTTCTGTTGTTTTTCCTCGTTGACCATTCAAAAGTTCCCATTTTCAGATCCACATACGTAAGTGTGTGGGTATCGATGTGGATGTGGGTGGAAGTATATATGGGTATGTGTGAGAAATGAGAAAAATGTGGGTATGAGTAAAGAGAAGAACTACACCCACACCCCACTACAGTCGACTGCTTCTTGAGTCTCCAGTAGTTGCATTTATCGCGACATCCATCGGCGACCTTCGGAACTTTTGAAAAAATTTTGATGTCATGTAGGAATTTGACGACATCTCTTTCAGTTCTTGTTAATTCATGAATTTTTCTTGTGTCAAAGGAATCGAGATCTTCAATTCGGAAGACGTCAGTCATTTTAGGATATGTGATAGCGTAGTAACGTTTAAGATGAGTTTTTTTTTTCGTGAAATTTTCTCATGAGCTATATTCTTTTATACATTTCATTTTTCAGATGTAATCTTAAAAATTCTGTCTATTTCCCATTTAAAATTACTGAAAAGCGTTCATATTTTTCGATCAAAGCATCGATTAATCAACATTCTCTTTCGAGAGCTCTATCAATTATATTTCTTCTTTGAACGCATAAGCACGCCCTCTTTTTACCATTTTTTCTGACTAGACATCTCAACTCGATCAATCAATTTTTTTTGTCGTTCTATCATCAATCATACGCTTTGAGATCTCAAATTATAAAAGCACCGACAGATGAAAAAAAGAACGTAAAAAACCCATTGTCGTCAACATACAACGTCATTTGAGTTCTTGTTCATGGCATCAAGGCCCCGATTGTACATTCGTAGTCGAACTGGTAAAACAAACTCTTCCCATTCATCTTCATCTAAGCCAGATGTTCTCGTTCTTCTTGATGCTGACGCTGATTCAAATTTGATCCTCAGGCATCTAAATAAACAGCCAATACTTTGTCAAGTAATCATATTACTGGACGTCGATGCTCTAAATCAATATTATCGAATGCATGATAATAATGATAATAGTGCCCTAGTGAAGGTACTCATCAAGAGAGTACTCAAAAAGTACTCACGCTAGAAAATGCCGCGAGAACTCATGAGTACTCAAGGCTTTTGAGTACTCACTAGTGGTACTCGTGCTAGAATTTGAGTATATGAGTACGACTATTGAGTACTCGCGCTAGAATCTGAGTACGACCATCGAGTACTTGCCTTAAAATAATGAGTGTTTAACGAGTACTCCTATATAGTTTTTGAGTACTCTAGTCGTTTATGTAAAATACTCATAGGCCTACATTCTGTTCATTACCGTTGCACTACGACCATCTTATTTTTTATATAAAATTAAAAACACAAAATACAATGCTACATATTGAAAGTATGAGACAACAATCAATACGAGAGTTACAAGTATTACTTTATCTGCATTAGTTTTTAACATAAATACTAGAGATAAAGAAATATCTAACTTTCTCCTATAACGAACGATGAAGATTTCTTTCTCTATCTTATAAAGTAACAGTACAGTAAGCTGATTAGGTGGCGGTAAAATAAACTGAGAGAAAAATAAATGATAGATTGATTATTCAGTGAAATTGAAATATGTGATTACAAATAAAGATTCAGCATTGATTGATACACAACAAAAAAGATAAGTGTTTAAAAATCGTTTATATTTACAATCATTTAACAATTTATAAAAAAAAGTAAAATATAAATTATGCGTCTGTAGTTATTGTCTTCATGTGTGTATAGTTTAAAATCGCAATCGATTTGCAACAAAAGTCGTTAGTTCTTTTGTTCTATTACGATTCATCATCAATCTGAAAAACTTTATGTTAATACAGAACTTTTTATCTAAATTTAGAAATTGAGACTAGAATGAATTTTGATTAATCTATTTAATTCAATATTAAATCTTACTTGCGAACTTAACAGTTAAAAATGAAAAGTTGTTTTGTTTTCTTTTTTTCTTCAAGTCATCATCCAATGAAATCGTATAAACCAATCATCAGAAAATAATAGAGGATAAAATATAGAATTCATTAAAACAGTTCTTCTCTATTTTTCATTTAAAATTGCATCGTTTTTCTTTATTACATAATTTCAATTTATTTTTGTTCATACAAATGCATAAATGTTTCACTAAATATTCTGCGAAAAAACTCGTATGAGTACTACACTGAGTACTCGCGTCTTTTTCTGTGAGTTAATCTGCAAAGAAAAACTAGTATGAGTACTCGTATGACTACACATACAGTATTCATACACATAAAATTCTTGAAGTACTCGTACGAGTAATTTGAGTACTCATGCTGGCAAGTCGTACTCGCTTGATGAGTAGTTTCACTAGGGTGATAAATGTGTTTATCTTGTTCATTTTGCTTCGTTTATCGAGCAAATTAATGAATTAGCAGGTGAAAATGATGATTTTTGCTCGATTCCTACTTCTAAGTACACTCTTGCTTTAGAAGAAGTTTGTTATGCATTAGATGAAGAACTTGGAATTTTTCACGATGAAGAACGACTTGCTAAGGCATTGAGAGATCATCTCAATTCATTTCTTACGATCACCGATGTCGAATTATCAAGTCAGAGTGTCTCATTAGAGACACAACGTTTTGCTTGGTTTCAATTTATGTTTAAGTTACTTTCACACGTTGAACGATCCGATATAGGCATGCAAGAAGTAATTGATAAATTACGTATTGATTATCATACTCGATCGGATACAATCGAAGAATTTATTCAAACATATTCATCAGAAAAAGCAATTGAATGGTGTATGAAAGAGTCATTTTATTTTGGTCATATTAATGGCATACTACGTAGTAAAAATATTAAAAATATTTTCACTCATCGAGCAATTATTCGCGATGTCGAGCAAAGTCTTATTTCATGGCATGATGATCAGAAACAAATCTGGGAATCTTTTTTTCCCTATGAATGTTTATCGTGGTCAAAAGACTTCAAAACAGGAACTTAAATCATGGCAATCTAATATTGGTTCTATTATAACAATGACATCATTTCTTTCAACAAGCATGGATAAAGAGATTGCTTGTGCATTTGCAGAAACATTTGATAACGAGAATGATGATGATGAAGCTACAATATTTACCATCTGGGTGGATAAAAACACAGCACCAAAAGCTATTTTTGCTTATTTATATCACGCTGATTGTGAACTCGATGATCAGGAAATTCTTTTCTCTCTACGAACACTGTTTCGTATTGACAAAGTCAAATATGTAGATTATGAAGAAACATGGTATATAAACATGACAGTTGTAGATGAAAGTAATGAAGAAGTACAAAAAGTAACAGCACCGTGGAAAACATCAATTTTAAAAGAAAATAATTCTCTTCCATCTGTAAATGAATCACTTATCTATGTGCGTGATTTATCAACAGATAATGGAGCTTTTCTTTCGTTTCAACTCTCGCTTGATATAGTACTTCGTTTAGATCGAAATGATTTTGCTCGCCAAGAAATGCTTTCAATGTGTCGAACAAAATTTAGTCATGATTCTTTTACATTAGCAAAAATTGATCGATTTGAAATGACCTATAAATTTGAACAAGATGCAGTGAAATGGTATACAGCTGATAGTTTTCTTTATCGTCTTCTTAATGAAGTTCTTCGTACTGAAACTGTTGATTCTATTTTTAAACTACGTTATTTTATTCAAGATATTCATAATCAATTAGCTTTTATGCAAGTTGACTATTTAAAAAGATTACAAAGATATGATTCTCCAATTTTAAAATTGTATCGTGGTCAAATTATGACATGGAATGATCTTGAAAACAAGTTTCGTGCTAATATAGGAAATCTCATATCAATGAACAGTTTTTTATCAACTACAACAGATCGTTACGTAGCACGTATATTCGCTGGCGATAGTAATATTCAAAATCCGGAAACTTATGTATCTGTGTTGTATGAAATTAAAATTGATACTCGATTACCTCATTCAGTACCATTTGCTGAACTTGGCGATCAGAGTGATTTCGAACATGAAAATGAGGTACTCTTCTCAATGGGAACCGTTTTTCGTATTGGCGAAATTTGTCAAGAACATAGACATTTATGGATAGTAAACTTAACTTTAACTACGGATGAGGATGAACAATGGAATGTTTTGACTGAACATTTGCAGCAAGAAGAAGAGATACCTAATCAAATGAGTACACAGGTATTGATGGTCGATGATAGAAATGAAGAGATTGTTATTACTCCAATCATCAAGAATACGAGAAAAAGAAGATGCCGAAGTTTTGATGACTACCGTTACTCGAAGCGTGAATTTCGTAGATCGAATTGGCCTGAAGCTTTCCAAATAAGGATGAGTCGACGATTCGAACATCCAACTTTTCCACTTATTCACAAAGAGGTTTGATTCCGCTAGTTATTGAATTCTGCGATTTTCCTATAGATATAACAGTGAATTCTATGATCTATACAAGCTAATTGATATGTAGTAGTTTTGCGACAATAATTTTTTTCACTCCTTGAGAGTGGGTGTGGGTATAGATGCGGAGGTAGTTCTTTTCTTTACTCACACCCACATCCACACCCCGTACCCTCACATCCTATTTAAAAAATCGAGATTTCATGAGCACAATGTATCTTCCAAGATTTTTCGAGCAATAACTGATCAATACGAAAATTAGGTAGAATACTTTATTTTATAGTAAAAGGCCACCAACACTCACACTCACCCACACTCTCTGAATTCGACTCGCTTTCAGTATCTCGTCTCTACTCATTTAAAGATAAGCTGGAGAACAACACAAATATATATGGCGCACTACGACAACCAGAGCTGCACAAAAGAGAAAGATGTCTGCATTAAGAACAGTAATAAATGTGTTTACGTTTGTGATATCATCAAACATGGCGCATATTTTTAGATGATAAGCACGATTCATATATATATATATATATATAAAGTAAGGAGGAGATTAAGTACACATTGTACTTTTTTAGATTCGTCGTCAATGACACATTACTGAAGATATCCAAACGGTAATTTTGATAGCACTCAGTACGGTCAACAAAATTGAATTGCGAGCCATTTTTCAACCTTAGTAAGAATCTCGCATTTTTCGTTTCAGTTCATGTCAGGAGTTACCATCGTTTTCTGAGAGAAACTTGTCATCATGGACTGTCCATGATCATGACAAGATTTGAAATAGAATTCTATCACGATCCTGCTCAGTTTTACACTACATGTCGAACAGAATCGAATCAGAGTTTTGATAACTCCTAGTTGACCCCAATTATAGAAAGTTTCATGGCAATTTCATCTCACACTACAGCATTTTCTTAGGTTTCTTGGAAGTAATTCATCAAGATTTTATGAGAATATAATCATGATCTTCGAAGGATCATATCAGAATCTAAGTAGCAGAATATTAAAGGAGTGAACACATAGAGCGTTGACATCCAGAATCTTCAGCTGATGAACTCAGCAGCTTACCCATCTGGAATGTGCCATGTTTCCAGTTGTAATTTTCATATTTGATTCTGTGTTTGAAATTCAAAATTTTAGTTCCATCTGCATTCGTTTTTGCAAAATGTCTGATACTGAGAAGATGATACAAAAAAAAATGAAAAATCGTTTCCTGATATTGCAACTAACTGACAAAACCTGTTATTTGAAGTTCGTTGCAAATGAATTTTCAAAAAAATTGTCAGTCATCTGTTATCCAAGAATGAAGAAAAATAAAGAGTCTATTCCAGTGTGAACACTTGCACTGTGCTAGATATGGTTATTAAAATCAGCAATGCAGTGCCAAATTTCGATTTATTTCACATATCTAACGGTTTTGTTTTGAGCTCAACCTGAGAACAGAGTTGCAGAGGATTCAATTCTTTACAGGGTGACAGTGAGAATATGGGTCTGGTCTTTTCTTCACTCTTGCCCACTCTTCGTTCATCAGTTCAGAACGAATTGATGAATCTACATGATATCGTTACATGTCGCCTGTTTGATGATGCCTATGGAATGTTTGTGAAAGCTCGAATCAAATAAATCGCCAGTAATTTTCAATTAAAAAAATTCCATGACTTTGATAGCAGTTCTATATGTTCATCCCCAGTATTTATTCTCTACTGGCTGGCCCTCGAAATTCTGACCATTCTCTATTGAACGGTGTTACTCTTGTGTGATTTCGAGAGAATCGATGTTATCCTCTGGTACGAACGTCCTCAAGTTGGTACAAACGTGAAACAGTCACTGAATGTGCGAACAAAAAAATTATGCCATCTTGTAGCCAATAAAATTGTCTTTCCAGTGAGCTATGACTCGATATATTCATTACGTTTTGCTAGGAGCTATGGAAACTAAAAGAATCGAAGATCTCTTTTTGTTCACCTCTGAAGCGATCTCAACGGTCGGGTAAACTCTGATAATGATTCTTTCGACATCAGTTGGTAGAGTAGAAGCTGGCAAATAGCTTTAAGTTGAAAATAAAGTTGAATATTTTAAAATAAGCTTTGGGCAGGCATTTTACTAGATACTTCAAAGACGCTAGCAAAAATTAGTTCCAGAGAGAGCATCTTCGACAACTCGGTGAAGGAGCGACGGAAAATTCTAGAATTCTTAGGGTTAATGGGGCCAAGAATGTTCTATCTGTTCACAAAACTTCATTCATTATAGGGAGGTGGAGCTCTGGCTTTAACTTTAACTTCTGGCCATTTTTCTGTTATTTTACACTCCATAATTTGCAAGCTTTGAGTTTTTAAAGTTTAAACTTTCATCTTAGTGCTGAATTTTTTTGAATACGGAAAAATAATCTCAATGCGAAGTCTTACACACAATTCGAAAATTGCATTCAAATGATCCATTTTCAAAAAAATTATATAGTTTAGTTTACTTTTCAATACTCTTTCTAATGGTGTACGGCAAAGTTGAAGTTGAAAATGAAAATTTCCTATTAATATAAAATACAATTAGTAATATTAGGTAAAAATAACATATGAGAATAGGAGTTTTGAAAGGTATTTGTTCCCTCGACTGAAGGGAGGATCATATGAAATAAAATGAGTTTGTATGCTTGATTGCGTGTATATTTGCAATTACATGTTTAGTCACGTGCGCACATACTTGCTATTTACGCACTTCTTATAAAGTTTGATCAGAAGTAATCAGGATCGGAGAATTTGAATTCGTGCTTAGTTTTTCGAAATTTTTATTGTCGGTATGGTAGTCTTGACGAAAAGTACCGAATCTAAGTGCACCAAATTCAAAGTTAAATGCAAATGTAGGTATTGTGGAACGATCTTATCCCAATATATGTCTAGATTTTTGGAAATGAAAAAGCAATTTAAGACACTTTTAAACTCCTTGGTGCACAGGAAATTATTCTACGACATTAGCTAATAAACAGCCTTGTTTCACGAAGAAGTCGATAACAACGGCGTCTTTATTTGTGAAAATCACTATAGCTATAGACTGACTATACTATTATAAACCACCTTAAGTGCATCATATTAGATCTACATGTGGACATTTGACATTCTCAAAAATAGTCTGAATAGGATAAAGTAGTATATGAATATAGTCTTCATAGTTCAGTCAAGGATTAAGCGAGTCGGAGCGACGACCGTTACTTGTTAATAAAATGTAGCAATCAAATTACGTTGAATTATACATAAAAGAGCTTTCAGTTATTATTTTTTAAAGAAAAAACTGGTCGTAAATAAATAGTGCGCTAAGTTATATCGGTTCGAAAGAAAAAAGATTTCTGTATAAGAAGTTGAAATCAGTGTGCATACAACGTCATTCACACCTCAGTTTTCTATGCCGCACTGAGAGCTATCGAAATCACTATATAGATATCTTCAGTAAGTTGTCCTTGACGAAAAATCTCAGAAGTAAAGTGTGCTAGATATTCTCGTATTTTATATGTATATCTATAATAATAAAAAAACAGTTCATTTTCAATCTATTAAAGAAGAATAGTTACAATCAACTCTTACGAATTGATACATGATCATGATGACAACAATAATGAATTGTAAAAGCAAAAATAGCTTGCTTTTGATCTTGTTATATCTGCAAAGTGTATTTAATTTGGCTCAATTGGAAAATAATAATTTAGATTCATTGGAAAAATTGAGACAAGCTTTAAATCAATCGAACAATTCAATTATCGCTTTCTATACGAATGCTAATGTTGTGTCAACTAGAAGTTTATTCAAAGGAGTTAATTTCAATTATGCTTTAATTAATAACAACTCATTAATAATACAAGGTGTAAAGGATGGCACTTATATAGCTGGATGTTTAGTTGGAATTTCAGAAGAAGACAATGCTGTTTTGAATGTTATAAGAAGTGGTGTTATAGAAGGTCATGCAATTTTTACATTACCAGATGTTTCAAGCGAATATCCTCACGGCGCTGTTATTGAAGCATCAGGAAAAGAATTTCGAAATGCAATTAATCTAGCTATTATGAAAGTACAAGCACAAGGAATAGATTTTGATTTAGCTGCGAAATATCATGAAAATATAGTTGATGTGAGAACCTGTAAAATTGACAACACCGATGAGTTTCCTATTCCAAATCGTGCCGAAGCTACAGGATTACTAAAGACTGTATTAGAAAAAAGTATTGTTCTAGTAGGTTCTTCTGGAAATTTAAACAGTACCGAATCCGATGAAGGCGACGAAGAATTTCAATTTCATTCAGCATACTTAAACGCAATTTTGGACAAATTTGCGCAACTGAGTGGACCCGACGGTATCGCATACGGAAGACCTAATGTTCAGCGAGTTTATGCAAGGTCATCAACTGCAAATTTACTAAGAGGACGTGTCTATATGACAGAACCATATTTTCTTATAGATAATGTATACACTGGTTCACGAGAACGTTGTACAAATGATTCAGATTGCGTGAGAGCAAATACGGCAAGTGGATATGAAAGTTGCACGAACAATACATGCATAGGATATACTCGTCCAATTAGTGAAGTATTCAAATTAAGTTGTTTCACATATGGAACAGAAGCTTTGTTTATTACAAAGAAAATTAATAATGAACATGTGGTAAATCAGTCTAATACCAAGATATCTGGTGGTGTGGTAGCTGCACTTGTCTTACTAACAGTTTCTTTAATGGGAACAATTTTTCTTCTCGTTTTCATGGCTCTTAAAGAACGAAAAGGGAAACCTCTATTTGGTTAACGCATCTCGCTACTAAAGGAACAAAAAAAGATAGTAAAATAATTTTATTATTGAAATATTATACAGAACAGGAGCTTATGAAAGCAGTAATTGTCGTGACTTTTCTTTTACCATTAAATTTCAATTTCCTTTGAAAAATATTTTCCTGATTTTATTTTTTACTCTACTAATTTGATTGAATATGAACAGTCATCACTTTCAATTTTGTTTAAATTTTTTCTGCAATATAATATATGGAACTGAATTGTATATATCTATTCGTTTATTTGTATAATTTTGCTGTATTTGGAGAGGAGATTTGTTGTATACATCAAAACTACAATTTTCATTGAAGTTTTTCCTTTTTTCTGTCGATCACTCTTTTTTCTTGGAGTACTTACTTTTAGGCATTATTCAAGTCTTCAAGCAACAATGACCAATTGAAGTGTACTTGCACTTCTTTACCACAAGTACCGATATCGAAAATGATGGCCAAACAATACAATGGAAGTTATAATGTATGATCACTCTTTTCACGGTGAGAAAAGGCAGGAACCTTATGACTCGACCAACTTGTTATTATATAGTCGTTCTATGCGACTATCTACGGTATAAATTTCGTCGAATCTATGCAGGTGCTCAAAAGCTATGGCTTTTTTTACACAGTGATAGGTTGGTCGAGTCGTAAGGTTCTTGCCTTTTTGAGTTACAGAAGTCACAGCGAAACAAGCTCTCGTACATCATAATTCCTGTTCAATTCAAGCGATTGAGGGTGTGAGTGTAGGTGTGAATGTAAGTAAAACTTATCCGCACCCACCCAAAGTATCGTACATTTTTAGAGCGACTATGAGATTTCGGCCAAAGAATTTCGGTGAAATTCGAAGTATGGTTCGAGTTCAATTTCAAAAATTTTGTACCCGATAAATTCTACCTAACATTCAAATATTCGTTGATTTTCGTTGACGACTTGAGGGAGTACGCATATACAAATGAAAAAAATTCCTTTATAACCGAATGAAAATCTCAAAGCCGATGCTAAAGGTATAAATCCTTCTTTGGAATTTCCAGATGATGATAAGACAAAAGAAATGTTTGTTTCGGAAATTGAAAGGGTTTCTATAAAACCAAGTTTTTAAGAGCAAATTTTTTGAAGTCTGATCTTGCTGAAAAATGCTCCATAGATGCTATTAGTGTGTGCTCTAGAGTCTATCTTGACGTTTTTAGATTTTTTCTTCGGTTGAAGGAAAAGATATTCGCAAATGACTTTTTCTATTAACGATCAACTCGAAGTGCCGACATTTCAACGCAGATATTTAGCGGCCGCAAACGCGTTTTAACTCATGTAAACATATTTATTAACGAAATTTTTATATTCAACGTTTCTTGACTGTTTATCTTGCAAAATTTTCACTGAAATCATTAAAAACTTCTTATCCAAGCAGATATTGAAAACCAAGTGATGGGTATAATGAGCGCTTGACAGCTGGAAATATACAGTTTATATAACTATAGGCTAGTGCCCTACTTATAGTGAAAATTTCGAGTCTTTCTTCCCTTCTGTTCTTTTCGAATATCTAACAAGAAAATATAAAGTCTATGATTTCTAACGCCGTCTGATCAAAAAGATTGTGTGCTTATTCCAAAATCTTTGGCAGTTGTCTCGCACCTGATACTTTCTACTTTCTAACCATATCAAGGGATTATAAATTTGGTTTCCACTTATCTCTAAGATCTTGCAATAATTACTTTGATATGCACTTTGACTATTTTATGTCCCGACAAATTAAATTCGATCTACTATAGTCAATTGAAAACCGAATGCGTATTTCTTTGTTTACATTTGTAGACTAAAGAATGAGAATTCTTTCTGTAAAAACATTTTTCTCTAATGGACTTCTAAATCAAATAAAAAACAAAAAATAAAACGATCAAGTGGCTATTGGTCTACTAAATGTCCCAACAGATTTTTAATTTCTTTTCTTTCATTTCTCAGTAACTATACGGAGTTTATGGATCATTTTTTTAATCTTTTTAAGCGGACTAAGTGGTCAGCCTACCATAGAAATATTAGCTCTTAAACAAGCATCGCTCATGAGAAACAAATATTTTATTCAAAAAATGTCCCGACAGATTTTCTCAATATTACTACATTATAACTAATCATTTTCACATAAATATTGGGAAGTCTTAACACTTAAAATACTCGAGAGTTGTCTCTTATTCCCTTTTAATTCTGATAACAATTTAAAAATAGTACTGTAGGTATCGTATTCTGCGAAAAAACACCTAGAATACTCAGTGTTTTTAGAAAACTCAGTTTTTTCTGAAATGAAGAAACTGACAGTTGAGAAAGCACATAACTTATATGCAACTGATAGAACTCTATCGAATGTGCGACTCAAGTTCTCTTCATATTCACTTTGATTTTTTTCCAATTTTTTCATCACATGGTACAGTAGTAGCGCAAGTCGTCCGTATGCGAAAGCGAGGCTTTCTTTTCATATAATTTTCACCTGCTTCATGACTCTTGGAAGAACACGGAGATTACCTAAAAGTTTGGTAAAATGCTGACGTAAATGCATTCCCAAAAAGGGCTCTTATAAGTAGTCCCAATGTACATGTCGTGAATGGCATGTTTCTTAGAAATGACATATAATACCATCATCTTACACATTCAATCACTTTTCAAAAATGGATAGAGATGTGAATAAGTGTTAAGGTCTGTCTTGTGGCATAGCTAGACCTTTTGATACTGCTGAAAAAATCAGTGTTCAACATTGATAGCTTCGTCCGAAAGCCCAAAGATGTCTTCAGTCATTTTAGCTTGAAACTTATGCTAATAAACAGCGAAGATCAATAGTAGTAATCATTCAGGGAGAGTTTTTTTCCAAAATTTAGCTCTCTGACCTGCAAGCCGTTTGATATGAGAGGATGACTAATGGATACTTGCGTTGGAAAATCTTGCATTATTAGATGTACAAAGCTGCTGATAAATAGAATGGTTTATTTCATAGAAAACTATAGGTCAAAGATGATCATAGTCTCAAATTAGTCAGTTATTATAAATAAGCAGTAGAGTTGTCGTCAATTCTGGAAGTTTGATTTTGATGATGAAGTGCATCTTTGTTGAATGAGGAAACAGTAAAATCTGTGTCTTCATCAGCTAACTGCGATTCCTGATGCTTGATTTTCTCAATTATCAATCTCCAATAATCCTCGGCAATACTACTCGCACGCAAGCTATTGTCATTTTGATCGAATTGATGGTACGTTGAGCTGCTAAAATAAGAACTCTGTTCCTGTGGCATCGCTTGTGTTCTACTGGACGAGCGAGACTTGCTAGGTTGTTTTGTGTCTAGAAAAAGTATGCGTATAAGCAAGAATGAGTATAAGTTAAGTACGAACTGATGAGTCTATCCTTCATATCTGTCATTTCATATGCAGTGTCCTTTGTTTCTTCATCTAAAAGGCATACGTTTTCTTTGTACCAAAGATACTTGACTTACCTTCGCTAGAATTTTCAACGATGAAACTAAAAGCTGCTCCCTGACTTGGATAATTATCAAACTTGATTGGTCCATGTTGTTTGGCTTTATGGAAGTATTCCCTGTTGACTGAGTATTCATTCCGATCTCTTGCGCAGACAGGAATCCCAGACTTCGGTGGAAATTCGAGCGCTAAAAAATCACCTTTCTTACAGTTCAGAGAAGTATCGAAAGCCATGCAGCGCACTCCAGCACCGCCTGTATTAGTATACCGAAGTCGAGTACTTGCACGAATCCAAAATGCATTTGGATCCTGTTTTTCGGGTGATAATATATAGGCTTCAATTGGAGATTCGCTAATAGGGTGTAATGGGCTGAACTGAATGGTAACCTTTCTGATAACCCCGTTCGGAGCCTGAATACAGTCTTTATTATTAAAAACCACCCTATTACGTAGATTCGAATCAACATCCAAGTTGTTGTCGACATTATGAATGCCATACTCTGCGTCAATAGAAAAAAGGACAGTCCGTTTTCAATAGAATGAAAGGAAAAGTACGAAAATATTTGTACCTGGTTTCTTTAGTTCTTTTATAATCCATCTGACTAGTGGATAGAATATATACGTAAGCACATTCAATGGTGGTGGCAGAGGTGATTTCTTGCTATATTCCAATACTAATCGGAAACGATGGTATCCCCAAGTTTCGTGTGCATCGCGGTCGACGTTTTGAATGGTTACACTAGAAAAGGATAGAGAGTCATATTTTTCAAAGATCTATAAATTCATCTAGTTGCCAATACTTAAAAAGGGCTATCAAGATATTGATCAATAAAATATTAGCTACACAAACGAAGATAATTGTTAGAATAAAAGTCATGATTCCATAGGCATCATTTGAAACTACAAAAGAAAATTGCCTATCTTAAAATCTTGTGGATGAATTACTGTGCTCACCTTTTACAGGTTTGTAGAAAGGATTATCCTCGTCATTCAACTGAACTTCTCCATAAACTTTCCACACACCCCAATGAATAATGCTTCCCAGAGTATTCCAATTCCACAAACCAGTACCGTTATTCATCAAAGTATATTCGTGACGTGACGAGCCATCCGTAGTATCGGCCCAGATTACTTGATCTTTTGTACTGATTAATGCAAATGAAACCACTGCATAACCAGCAAGAAAGATGAAGACAAAGCAAATGAAGAATAGTAGATCGACCATCTATAGATGCAAGAACAAGTTACTTCGATATGATCAGTATTGACAAAACATTAAACTAACAGTCTTGAAAATCATTAGCAATTTTGGACCAAGTCGTTTGAATGCAGCAAATATTTGAAGTACACGAATGTACCATAGGAATAAGGTAAGAGACATGAATATTCTAGCATACATTGTGAAATATACCAAGATTGATGTTGCTTATTACAAGGAAACGTCCTGAGGTATTCTGACGATGTTCGAGTTCATATTGCATCCATTATTAGGTCTTGATGTGACTAGAAAAAGCCTAAAAGGGTTCGTTCTC